GAGAGAGAGAGAGAGCTGACTCAGTGTGGTGTGTGTAGGGATTGGGGAGGAAGAGTGAAATATGGAAAGAAATATCGATAGCCTGAAATACCTGGTGCAGGGCAGTTAATCATAAGGCCGCTCCAAAAAGATAAAACTGAGGGAGAATATTGAGGAGGAAGATCTTGAGGAGGCAGAAGACGTGGTGGTGGAAGAGACCGACAAGGACGAAGAACGTGCGAGGAAGGAAGTGTGTTGGGTGAAATGCGTTTTTCTCTCTCCTGCTTTCCCTCTCTCCTTCTTGCGTGTGTGCAACAATGTTGAGATCTCAAAAGAAATGGAGGGATCTTGATAACAAATGGCGCGTTTACGTCCACCGGATAAAGGAAAAGAAGTATCTCTTACGTCGGGCGTGACGAAGGAAGGGTGGCCGGTCGAGGGAGGAAGAGGGAGGTAGGAAGTAGGAAGGAGGGAGGAATGGAAGTATGAGTTCAGGTGGTGATCGGGCTTAGGAAGGAAGGGGAGGGAGGAGATCGAGGGAAGGAGGAGGCCAGACAGAGATCAGGCAAACGAAGGGGGCGGGCGAAGGGGAATGAGGCGGCCAGGCGGACGGAGGCCAGAGGGAGGTTGAAGAGAAGGTGCGGAGGAGGCCTGTAGGGAGGGGAAAGGCGGCAGAGAGTAGGGCGGAAGCAGGCGGTCAGGTGGAGATCGGGCCAAGGAAGGAAGGGGAGGAAGGAGATTGGGGGAAGGAGGAGGTCAGTGCAAATTGGGCGGAGGAAGTTGGACGGAGGAGATAGAGGGAAGGAGGTCAGGCGGAGATTGGGCGAAGGAAGGGGAGTCAGGTGGCCAGGCGAGGGAGGGCAGAGGGAGGTTTAAGAGAAGGTCCAGAGGAGGCTGGGAGAAAAGGGAGGCGGCAGGGAGAAGTAGGGTGAAGTGAGGACAGAAAGCAGAACGTAGTTTAGAGGTTGAGTGACGTATGGAGGAAGGGAAGAGGTAAGGGGGAGACGAGCATGGGAAAGAGCGTGAAAAGGAAGAGGAGGAAGTGGAAGGACGCCGGGAGGAAGGGGAAAGACGGCAGGGTGAAGTCGGGCGGAGGGAGGGCAGAGGTTGGGTGGGGTATGGAGCAAGGGAAGAGGTCAGGTAAAGGTGGGGGGAAGGATAGATAGATAGATAGATAGAGATAGATAGATAGATAGAGAGAGAGAGATAGATAGATAGAGATAGAGAGAGAGAGAGAGAGAGAGAGAGAGAGAGAGAGAGAGAGAGAGAGAGAGAGAGAGAGAGAGAGAGAGAGAGAG